AAAATGAAAAAAAAAAATTTGTCCCGACGATCTATCTTCTATACGCAAATGGCTACCATATTGAAAAATATACTATTTTTGTATGATAATTATGGGTTTTGTATTTTATTTTAATAGAAGTTGATGTTGCTTTTGCAATTATCCATCAATTTTTTAAAATTAAACACTATCTACAGATTTGCATCGAAGCGTTTCTTATGATAGTGATTTTAATCACTGTCAGATTAAATCTATACTGAACCCAACTATGCAATGTCTCCACTATGCCGCGACCCCACTGTGCTACATAAAACTTTTAAATATTTATTTTATAACAAAAATATTTTAATTGATTAGTAAAAAAATAAAAAAATAATCATATTACAAAACTCAAAAAGGCCATTTAATAGATTCTGATTTTGAGTTCCCAGGGGTTTTGTTGCGCCAATGATAGTTTATCAACACTTTCATCAACCGTTTATAAAATGCGATAGAGTCGACTACTGAAAAGTAGGTATTATATTGAATTTACTACAGGTCCATGTGATCTATGTGAAAGGAGAGAAAAAATGAAGTATAATCCAAGAATACGTTTCAAAAGTTAACGTTATCAACCCATTATACTTCTTCTTGCTGGATAATAAAAGAAGTACTTGCATCCGAAGTTTCCCATAGAGCTAGATGAATGGTATAGATAATTTATTGTTTTAAATGTTTTATCTACCGTTCAAAAAATTCAAATTGATTAATAAATATTCACTAGGAATTTGACATATTTATTTATAGGTGTAGAGAATTGATTTACATCATTTAATGGAACTGAACAGTTCCACAAAATATGTAAATTCTATTAATGATACAATTAAAAACAATAAATTGCTAGAATATCATTTCAATCTATTTCTGGACATTTATTCATTTAATTTTATTTCATGGAAACTATTTCTTTATACACAGTTGATTAGTCATTTATTTGACAATTATACAGGGTGATTGAAATCTGGTAAGACACTCATTTACTCAGAAAATATTGAGAATTTATAATTTTATTATAGAGAAAAAATATCAAGTCCAAATAACTCTACAATAATATGTAGTCAAACCATTATTTTTTTTGCCCCTTCAAGGATAAAAACCCTTATTTATAATTTTCTTAAATGGGAACCTTTATTTTTAACTTTATAATATGATAGAAAAAAAAATTACAAACAATTTTGTACTTATAATTTTAGCTTCGATGCGAAGCTGAGAAGGTATTGGTTTTACTATGATGTGTTTTTTTTTTTATTTTTAATTTTTTGTGTCTGTTACCACTTTTACTCAGCTCTCACCGAACGGATTTCTTTCAACGATACGTCAAAAGATCACAAACCGTATCTAGTTGAAGAAATTACCCTCAAAAATTGAAAAAATTTCCCTCGTTCCCCGTAAATGGGGGAAACCTCCAAAAAAATTACAAATTTAAAAATCGCTAATTTTCGAAATTTATTCAATTTTTTTTATAAACTTAATAATTTTTCTTTTTACAAAAATTTTAAATAATCAATAGTTTCTGAGAAAATAAGTGTCTTACCAGATTTCGATCACCCTGTATATTGAGTTACAAACTTATATAACATAAACTTTTTAGTATAAATTCAAAAATTAGTGGATCATAATTTTTTGATAATAACGTCTTAAATAAAAGTATATCGAGTATGGTGTCAACTTTTAAAATAAAGATTGACATTAAGTGGACATTAAAAAAAATAATTATACTAGCTGAAAAACTAATATTGTAAACATTTCCCTCGTTTCTTGTAAAAAGAGGAAATTCTCGAAAAAATTACAATTTTTAAAATCGGAAATTAACAAGATTAAAAAAAATTTTTTTTTAAGAATTTTATAACTTTTTGAAAAAAGTACATCACATAATAAAGCTTATGTAATAAATTTTAATTTGAAAAAAAAAATTTGTCCTGATGACCTATCTTTGTTTGAAAACACATCAAAGTTAAAGAAAAAAGTACGACTTTTGTATAAAAATTGGTAAAGTCTAGAAAATTAAATAAATTATTATTATATTAATAGATTAAAACACTAAAAATTAAAATATAATTAGGAAATAGATGTTGTTGTTACTTTTGGAATAATCCACCAATTTCTTAAAATTAAGCACTAACTATAGATGTCATCTGTACATGAAACAACAATACCACTACACAACTGTCCCTACCGTGTACTATTTTTTACTTATTTGGGGGGGGGGAATTTAATTAAAAAGCGGGTTAAGCTATTTTTTGGTGGATTTTAGTAATAAAAAAAAAAAAATCAGGTAATCTATAAATTTTTAAATTTCTCCTTAATTAGAGGCCGTTCAAAACTTGAAACATATGTATAAAAAGTATAACTTTTTCAACTTAACTTTTGAAAATCTGCGTATTTTAAATATATAATAAAAGAAAGCTTATTTTATGTATTACAAGTTCAAAAAAAAAAAGTTGTATCGAGGACCTATTTTCCTATTATGTTTAAATGGCAGTCGAAGTAGAACAAAAAATAGGACTTAATTTTGCTTTTGGAAAAATTCACCATTTTTAGGTTCGATGTGAAACTGAGAAGGTATTAATTTTACTATGATGTGTTGTTTTTTTTTAAATACTTTAAAAATATTAGAAACGAATGATTTGTACATAAAAATTACATTTTTCGTCATATTCGACGGCCATTTTCCCATAGAAGAAAAAGTGTCAGGAGAAATTTATAGTGCATAGCATTAGCTATATTTTAACATAAGTATAAAGTACAGAGTATTTCCGGAATATTTTCCAAATTTAATATGAAAAAGTTAAATTTTTGTGCAGAAATTGCTATTTTGGATCCTCTCCTATGGGCAGGAAAAGGATTAATTTTCAAAAAATTTATATCAAATGAAAAAAAAGTTTCAATTTAAAAAATAATCATTTTGATTTGTTTATTTCTTATTAAGTTATGGAAATTTTTAGATAAATAAATGAAATAAATGTCGACATTTACCGATTTTAAAAATCGTAATTTTTCAGTGGAATTTCACTATTTACGAGGAACGAAAGTAACATTTTCAATTTATGAAGGTAATATCTTCATCTAGATACTATTTGTGATCATTTGAGAAAAATTGGTACAGTAAGAGATGAAAAAAAGTAGTAACACACACACACACACACACAAAAAAGATAAACACAGCATGTTAAAATCAATACCTTCTTTTTACTTTGCATCAAAGCTAAAAAACTGAAAATTTCCAGTAAAAATGAAAAAAAGTTAATTTATTTTACAGCTCAATTAGTTTTTTTCGGTGAATTTAGTTGTAAATTTATTGATAACTTTGTAAAAAAATCACTTTTACCATTAGGGTCATATATTTTAAAGAAAATTCAAAAAACTAAATAATTATAATTAGGTTGAATTTTCAACTCTCTTTGGAGTATTAATTAGTTTTAGTATTGTATTATATTGCCATCCTATAGAGTTGTATCATTAATGAATAACACTGTATATAAACATAATATATGTATTTATAATATAATATAATATAAATTATATCAGCTAATATAAGTTAATTAAACTAGTTTATTCAAATATTTGTATAGATTTAAACCTCCTACAGATGAAACTCTTGAAAAAAAAGTAGCTATCAAGTCACTCAATACTTTACTTAATGGAGGTTGTTGGAGTTCATTTAACCACATAGAAATAGAATATGACGATATGAAAATAAATGCTTCACGTGTTTTCAGAGACACGGTCACAGATCATAATTTTGATCTTAAAAAAAATTACTTCGCACTAATGGTGAGATGCAGATTTTTTGAAGTGCTTCTATTTTACAATTCAACATTATCTGTCTTAAAAGAAATGTGTGAAATTAAAAAATTTAAATTAAACCAAATTAACTATGTGGAATGTGTAACATGTCTTTTTGGCGTAATTAATAATACGGTGAAAATGTTTGATTTCATGCTGACAATTTTAAAAAAAATGAACCTATCAGCAATTTGGCCTACTATTGTATCGTATTCTAATCTAATATCAACTTATAATATGATATATAACTATGTTATTAATCTTAAAACTTATAAAGTAGTACGAGGTTTGTTTGTAAATAAACCTGGAGTACTTATTGAAAAATTAGCTGATGATTACGTTAAATATTTTACAATAGCAAGGTATGACTTTAGAAGATTGCTACAGGATTTTAAAACTCCAAGAAAAAATCACTGTTATTCAGAAGGCTTAATTATGACCAAGGAATATCTGAAAAATAAATTTAAAAATACTGCATCTTTTATTAATGAAACATTGTCATGTGATACTAATGTCTCCAATTATGAACGAATTTCAAAATATTTAAATGACTTCTGTGAACATTTTATTAAAACTGATTACATAGATACGGGAATTTATAAAATACATAAAAATTATTTTTGGAAATGGGAATAATCCGATTTTGTTAATCGAAGTAAAATGTAATATTTAAGTGATCGAAGTACATGTTTTATGTTTAATTTCTAGTATATGAAAGAGGACCTCTTCTATCATAATAAGCTTAATGTAATATGAATTAAATTCTTTAAAATGCGCAATATCAATAAATTGATATATTTTTAACTATTATATCGTTATATAATCATTCGATGAATAAATAATCATTTAGTTATATACGCTTTGAAAGTTTCTAAGATTAATAAATGAATGATTGAAATTTAATGAACAAATGATCGTTTATCTATAATCACCTTGAAAATGTCTGAAATTAAAAAAACTTTTGTCGTCAATTTTCTATATAGGCAAATATGCTTTTTGTATTGCTGGTTGGTATATTTAGGTGGTATGTAAAGGAGGTAGTCCAATTAGTGCCTCCAGTGCCACCGTTGGTGTGGTCCTTATCTCTCCAATAATAGCTATAGCAACCATTCTTTGAATACACTGTATAAAATTATAGGTTTAATTACTGAACTGTATTAGCCAATACATAACTTTTATTTTAAGGTTCGAGTTCTTTGCCAGAGTTCTGCTGCAAGTCCACATTGTGGACATGGCTATTTTGACTCTTGTCTTAATGTGTGATTTTCATCTTAGCTTAGTGTCTAGGATAATACTTAAGTATTTTACCTCTGACTTAAAGTCAATTTTTGGTATATTCAAGCTTAATGTTCCAAGACTATCAAGTCCTGTTATTACTTTGGTAAAAATTAAGAACTCTGCTTTGTTTGGACAAACAGCTAGGCTATACTTACTACGACTTATTGTTTTCAGTCTCTGTTATGCCAAGTCTATAATTGTGTCTAGGAATTTACCAACTNTCTGTTATGCCAAGTCTATAATTGTGTCTAGGAATTTACCAACTGTTATAATACATTGACCTCTCATTACAACTCTTATCTAGACAGTAAACTATGATAACTATTGTCAAGTAAAAATTGTCATACGGTCACATATGGGCAATATAATCAATATTATCTATTAAGCAATAAATTAAATTAATTTAAAACTTTCATGTAAATAATAAAATACACATAAATGTTAATATGGATTGTCACTGATATGTCAATTTTGTAATGAAATAATTTATCATTGTCCAGAATAGTATATTAGTTTTTAAGATAACATGTATTAAATAATTTAATAAAGAGATAACAATAGCGTTTCTGACACTTCTTGCATATGAATATAGTTATAAAAATTAACAAAACAGCAATATAAAAGGGGACAAAAAAGGCCCAAAAATGAGCAGTATACTCTCGGCATGCTCCCAGTGTCTCGTCAGTATACTCCCATGGCTCATTCTACATTGATCCAGGCGTGCTCCCAGTATTGACGCAGCTCACTAATCTCAATCGTTTAGTTCATGTATAAGAAGTGAACAGATACGTTAAGATTTATTCAAAATAAACAGACGACTTAATTCATTCTCTAGATATCCTACGGAAATATCAAGGTAAATACTAATTAATTAAATTAATAAGGTTTAAAACATTAACTCTTTTAAGTATATGGTTAACATACGGACAAAGAAATATTGAGTGATCACTAAAAAAATCACTCTGTCTTTCCATTACCTTTTCACTATTCTCATAAACCCTCGAACTCATATCTGAGAAACTTTATTATTAAAACAAATAGTAACTACCTTTTTCCACTAAAAAATATAACCATCTTTTTCTTTTTGAGTTACTATACAACCACTACTATAACTAATTCATCCACATAGGCTTGAGTGTAACAATCTTTGTTTAACTCATTAACTCTTTGAAGATGATTTAACATTAGTTATATCATTATTAGCTTCGATGCGAAGCGGAGAAGGTATTAATTTTACTATGATGTGTTTTTTTTTTTTTTTTTTTTTTTTTTTTTTTTTTTTTTTTTT